TTCATACAATAATACAAATTTTCATTTTGCATTACTAATGGCGGGGATTCATGTCCTATGGACATATTTCTAGTTCCAAATGTTTCTTAAATGGTTTTGATCTAATTTCACTAAAACATGGCACACATAAAGACTACATCACCGTACACATTTTTATGGCTTTTTTTTTTTTTTTTTTTTTTTAAATTTAGATAATGTAACTATGGTTGCTAGATAAATTATCTGTGTAATAACTTTACAATGTTCTTTCTCCTAAACCCCCCCCCCCCCAAAAAAAAAATAAATAAATTTAAAAAAATGCACATAAAGGAATATCTACATAATTCTGTTGGATTTTAATGTTACATCATCAATGAATTACATAATTTATCCAACTTCTGCCTGAGTTCCTTTGTACCAAACCGCTCGTACATCACAATCAGTGATTACATTGACCTCTATGACGTCACTATACATGTTCACATGCACAATCCGAAAGTCGGCATGATGTTGGAGAGTACAAGAAAGACCACGGTAAGTTATATGAATCATATTTGTACAGGTACCTCGAACATGACCGTGATAATTATAGTATGAGTGTAAATACCTAGCTACCGGTACATATATTTTAGATTAAGTTTATAAAGAGAAGTTTCCCCGCTTTGTCTTTAACTCGATAAGACATGCATAAAATTTGCTGAAAAAATGTAAAAATATCGAGAAGGGATTTTTTTTTCTTCAATATACTAAGAGATTTTTTTGGCAACCAAGGCGAACTGAAGAGAAAATTTATGACGACTGAAGACACTTCAGATAAATTGATGAAATTATACATCAAACTCATTCACTCCTTATTTCAGGAATGATATGTCTGGGTTGGAGGGGATAAACTTTACAGGTGGGAAATCTTTGAAACAAAGTCATCCTATGTAGTGAAATATATTCTTTGGTCTAATGTGTACATGAATTTGGGAAACTTAGAATTATTTTTATTTAATCTAAATCATTAACTTCTTAAGCTTTATTTTTATGGTTCTTCTGACCAACTTAACAAAGGTTCGCGTTTTCTAGAGGGTCATTTTATTTTTTAACTTTACTATGTACATTTTGATAACTCCACAAATTCCAGGGGGCCCTCCGCTCCCCCTCTAGATCCGCCGGCGCATGCCACTATCTCGTAAGAACGAGATAATTACCTCAAAATTACGAGAAAAAGATCTCATCAAGTAATTACGAGCAAATCATCTAATTACAATAAAATGTGCATGTACATAATGGTACTGTGAAATTTCTCTATGAAAATTCGTCGTTCTTTAAATTTAAATATTAATTGTTTTAAATAATGGTGTGTCGAGGAATTCCAGAAATTTCGTAATATAAGTGTAACTGGGCTATGAAACGGAGCATGTGAAAGAGTGTCGCTTACTAAGCTACGAGCAAAGACCTAATGCATTAGGTCTAGGTACCAATGACCTTTAAAGGTGCTTGGACACAGATTTGAAGTTAATATTTTCTCAGATTTTCTGTATAATTTCATGACTTATATGTTGCTATAGCATTTCATACTAAAATATAATAAAAATCTTATTTCATCTCGAAGTTATTAAAACTTTGAATTTCTGGACGCGTTGGATTGACACATCCTTGCGCTTTCACATATTTCAATTTTATTCTTAATACTTAAGAAAAGTGGCAATTTTGTTGTGTATTAATGAAAAATATTAAACTTTAACCCAGAAAATTCAGAATAGAAATGTTCGAAAGCAAAACCAACTCACAGTATTGTAAGTCCGTGCTCAGTGGTGTGTGCGGAGTTTAACAATTGAACACACCCGGTGAATCGTAAACATTAACAATAACAGAGCTCGTGCCCTGTTTACAAAAACAGTTTCCGTTTCACGGGTGTGTTCAATTTGTTAAACTCTGTACACATCACAGAGCACGGACTGACAATACTGGTGAGTTGGTTTTGCTTTCGAACATTTCTACTCTGAATTTTCTGGATTATAGATGTAATATTTTTCATTAATACATAACAAAATCGCTTCTTTTCTTAAATATTAAGGATAAAGTTAAAATTTGTGTAAGTGCAAAGATGTGTTAATCAAACGCGTCCCATAATTCGTAGTTCCATTTATTTCCAGATAAAATAAGGGTTTTATTATATTTTCGTGTAAAATGCTATTGTAATATATAAGTCGTGATATTATACAGAAAATTTGAGAAAATATTAAGTTCAAATCTGTGTCTAAGCACCTTTAAAATTAAACTCTAAATTAAACCCTCCTTTCCCCCGTGATGGTGGGGATCCTCTACCCTTCCGATCCCCCTCAGTCATTTTGTTTTAGATTATATTACGAAGATCCTTCTAATCTTAGTGTCTGCTATACTATATTTACGCAGAGTCTGTCTTATACCAGTTTTTCTAACATCCAAAGGGAAGATCGTGTACTATATTTGTTAAAATACACCAAGTAAACGTCTGTTGATCGAAAAAAAAAATACTGTATAATTATGAGAAACTATAATTTAAACACTTATATCACACCAGTTTGTAACCCCCCCCTCCCCCCCCCCCCCCCACCAAAAATACAGCTATGCTGAATTTTGCAATGAAAATACTTTATATAAAGAACAAAGGGACTTCCGTGGGCTTGGAGGGTTGGACCCACTGCGGTCCCAGATACCCTTAAGGTTTTATTAGTCTACTTCCCCTCCCCTTTTAGGCTGCTATCTTTCATCTACTTCCTTCATTATCTCTTTGCATGATTCGTTATCTCAGGAATAAAATTTGTATAGTGTGTTTAAAAAAACCCAGACAGTTAATCCTTATTAACACTCTTCTTTATTCTCTGAATGTAGTAAAATCTGATACCAATTCTCTCTCTCTCTCTCTCTCTCTCTCTCGGCATGCTAATCAACATCATCACCCTGCGACTTGTATCTTGTGTATTACGATTAATGCCACAAAGCTGTATCTCCCTTAAAACGGGTCACCCCGTTTATTCACAAAAATGGGAAATAATATCATATATCAGGATGAAGGTATGATACGCCATTTTGACAAAGTAAGCTTAAAAGGGAGAGGGAACATCTGTTACGTCACAATGACATCACAGTACTCGACGTCATAAAACATCACAACCTTGGCGACTTTGTAAAGGAAAGTTCTAGGCCTAGTTTGTGTGAAAAGTGCTAGTTTGTGTGAAAATCGACACATTCATAATGCTTGAAAGTATCAGAAAGACTGTGGTAAGTAATATTTTTTACGTTTACCTTGTACTGTGCACTTGAAAATATAGACAAGTATGAAGATGATTAGCTCTTCTGATCACGTCTAGGCCAGGCCTAATGTTTTTATGAATGTTGTTGCTTACAAAATGACAAACTTATGCCCCCACTTTCCCCTTACATACGAAGTTTTTGTTGAGGGATTCTTAAATTACAGTATCCGTCTGTCTGTACTGTAGAAATGAACCCTCCATTAGGGGGCCTATATTATTTTAATACGCCATGGTATGCATCGTCTCAAGCCACGGTCCGGAGGCCTAGCTCTCTCTCCTACAGTTTGGCCGTGGTTTGCAACGATGCATGGTATGGCGTTCTTATCCGTCTCTCTGTCTGTATACCTGTTAGCTTTTTCGTGGTAGACGCATGACTGAATTCAAAATACCATATAAGGCTCATAAGAGTCCTCATACTTTGTCATCTTGGGTAGACCAGAGACATATATGATATATGTGTACATGACTTTGAGAAACTTAGAATTATTTTTATTTTCATTTAAACTAAATCATTAACTTCTTAAACTTTATTTTTATGGTTCTTCTGACCAACTTAACAAGGGTTCGCGTTTTCTAGAGGTCATTTTATTTTGTATCTTTACTACGTACATTTTGATAACTCCACAAATTCCAGGGAACGCTCCGCTCCCCCTCTAGATCCGCGCATGCCACTATCTCGTAAGATCGAGATAATTACCTCAAAATTACAATGAAAAGATCTCATAATTACGAAAAAATATTAAGTAATTACGAGAAAATCATCTCGTAATTGTACATTTACATAATGGCACTGTGTAATTTCTCTATGAAAGTTCATCGTTCTTTAAATTTAAATGTTGTTTTAAATAATGGTGTGTAGAGGAATTCCAGAAATTTCGTAATATAAGTGTTACTGGGACATGCAACGGAGCATGCATGGGAAAGAGTGTCGCTTAGAAAACTACAAGCAAAGACATAATGCGTTAGGTCTAGGTACCGATGACCTTTACAATTAAACTCTAAATTACCCCCCCCCCCTTTCCCCCTGGGATGGTGGGGAACCTCTACCCTTCCGATCCACCTCACTCATTTTGTTTTTTTTATATATATTCAGTCATTATATGTACGAAGATCCTACTAATCTTAGTGTCTGCTGTACTATATTTACGCAGAGTCTGTCTTATATAAGTTTATATAAAGAACAAAGGGACTTCCGTGGGCTTGGAGGGTTGGACCCACTGCGGTCCCAGATACCCTTAAGGTTTTATATTAGTCTACATCCCCTCCCCTTTTAAGCTGCTATCGTTCATCTAATTCCTTCATTATCTCTTTGCATGATTCGTTATCTCAGGAATAAAATCTGTATAGTGTGAAAAAAAAGGATAAAAAAACCCCAGACAGTTAAACCTTATATTAACACTCTTCTTTATTCCCTGAATGTAGTAAAATCTGATACCAATTCTCTCTCTCTCTCTCTCTCTCTCTCTCTGCTTGCTGTTCAACTTCATCACCCTGCGACTTGTCTCTTGTGTACTACGATTAATGCCACAAAGCTGTATCTCCCTTAAATAATAATTATAATATCATATATCAGGATGAAGGTATGATACGCTAGGAATTCATCTATTTTGACAAAGTTAGCGTATAAATTCATAAAAGGGGAGGGAACATACGTATCTGTTACGTCACAATGACATCACAGTACTCGACGTCATAAAACATCATAACCTTGGCGACTTTGTAAAGGAAAGTTCTAGACCTAGTTTGTGTGAAAAGTGCTAGTTTGTGTGAAAATCGACACATTCATAATGCTTGAAAGTATCAGAAAGACTGTGGTAAGTAGTATTTTTTACGTTTACCTTGTACTGTGCACTTGAAAATATAGACAAGTATGAAGATGATTAGCTCTTCTGATCACATCTAGGCCAAAAGTTGTTATGAGTGTTGTTCCTAACAAAATGACAAACTTGTGCCTCCACCTTCCCCTTACATACAAAGTTTTTGTTGAGGGATTCTTAAATTACAGTATCCGTCTTTCTGTAGAAATTAACCCTACATTAGGGGGGCTATTATATTATTTTAATACGCCATGGTCTGCATCATCTCAAGCCACGGTCCGGAGTCCGCATATATATAGCTCTCTCTCTCTCCTACAGTTTAGCCGTGGTTTGCAATGATGCATGGTATGGTGTTCTTATCCGTCTGTCTGTTTGTATGTATACATGTTAGCTTTTTCGTGGTAGACGCTTGACTGAATTCAAAATACCATAAGGCTCATATTTTGTCATCTTGTGTAGGCCTAATGGATGTGTTTGCCGAGGCAGTGCACTTAGTTATGATTTAGCTCATCCAAGCAGAAGACTCGAGTAAATCAGGCATGTACATGTAGCATTGGATGCACATGGAAGGATTTGACCATACTGCAAAAAAAGTAAAGAAAAAAGTGTCAACGGCCCTACCCCCATTAGATATGTGCCTATAAATTAAGATTGTTATGTTCATAGTCCTATGTACAGCAGCTAAACCTCCAAGGGGAGATAATTAGGAAATAATGGACTTTTAAGAACTTCTTCATAGAACCATGGAACTATTAAAGAGAAAACTTGGGTAACAACTTCCTAAATGAAGCAAATTAATACATATTTTTACACATGGCCATCGAGGTTTGAGTTATACATTGAAATAAACCAGGCTGGTATAGGAAAAAAACCTTTCAAGTTTCTTTAAGTCATGGACCCCAGGGCTAGGACAGGATCACAAAAGAGCCAAAGTTTGATATATGAAAAAGGGATTTTTTTTTTTAATTTAAAAAAATAATTATCAAAATAAAAAGAGCTGAAATTATTTGCAAGTATTTCCTTAATATACTTGACAACAGTACAGTGTTTATGTAGATTCAAGTTTGTTTGAAGGTGGGGGGGGGGGATTAATCATAAACAGTGAGTTGTAAGTATTGTCTATAGCAACATTGTGTATTTAATGTCAATTTGCTATCTCTTTTTCAGTTGGTAAAAGAAAAATTTATCAATATATATGAAGAGGTTCTTGCAGAACTCCAGAAAGTATTTGACATGGTAAGATATTTCATGTTGCACTGGGATGTCTATTCCAATTTTATACCCCCGCTCGAAGAGTTGGGGGTGTATAGTGATGGAGATGTCCGTCCTGTTGTCCATACTTCTGTTACACTTGAGGGTACCTATCTCCTATACCACTGAATAAAACTTAATACTGCTCACAGAATTTTTTTTTTATACATAATGCCATTTTGCACCTCCTATTTAATATATTCGATCAGTGCATATTATCTATTCAAGATATATTACTAAAGTCAGGTACTCTTCACACAATTGCTCCGACGAAAATAGTTCCATTCATGATCAGTAGATACAAGATTACAACAAATGTTAAGAATAATGATGTATATTTAATACGTTAAAGAAAACAAAATTAACGTAAAAAGATTTTAAGAAAATCATCTTTTCCCCGGAAAAGCAAATAAAAAGTTTTCATATTCCTACGCTCGCTGCCTCCTCAGTCTTTTTCCCGAAAATATATAGGTCATACTTCGATTGATAATGATAAATCTTTTCACCAGTTATATTACTGTCATTATTATTGTTCGTTCATTGCCTTATAATTTCTTTTGAATGGATATATGTTAATCATTAACTGTGTGGTTTTTTTTCTCTCTTTTAATGAATAACGGAATGGTTATTATGGTTAAACACCTGCAATCGTAACCTCTCGGCAAAGCAAGGTAATGTTCCGAGCTCGTCTGAAAGGATCTTCGCACGTGTGTAGACCTAGGCTATTTGGTCTTGCAAGCACAGGTGTGTGCACCGTTTGCTAGAGACGCTTAGATCACGTAGACTGGGTATCAGTATTTGCTACGGAAATGAAGAAGTTTAGAACTATACACCAGTTTCATAAGAAGTGCAGGTTTTTTACTCAAGCCCTAAATTGGGCTAGAGGGGCTGAGTTATCTAAAACGAGACTAGGTCATCGATCTACTCAGTTTAAAAACACGAAAATATACTAAGTTTATCTTCAAAACATCTGTATATTCAAAATCTATATTAAGTGTTAAATGTCGGATTCTATCCTATGACGAAGGAATATTCAGTGATGCTCCATAGCCGCAACCGATCTCGCGCTTTCCTTTGCGTTTAACAACGGCCGTCAATGCATCTCTGGACAAGTTCATTGATTACAAGTTCATTCGTTCTAAAAGGTGACATGTTGACCATCTTTAACATCTGCCTATACTATGGGTGATAGTAATTTAATAGCACAAAATTAAAAAATAAATTAAAATCTATCCTTGATAGATCTATAGTTTTGCTATTTAAAAAAAATGGGCTATCTTTGATAATCCATAACGGCTTGAACTTGATTTGAATTTTTTTTTTTTTACAGAAGATTATATCATTGGAAAGTTAGATGGTACACATGTAGCACAGGCCCATATAGTACGCGGGATTTTTTTCGGAGCTCCCCCCCCCCCTTCACTTTGAAAACGTTGCTACAGGCCTGTAACATGCTATTTGGTTTAAATATTCCTGAAAATGAACGAGGTGTTAAATACATTTTTAAAATTATACGATTAATTATATTTAGTCTATGTTCTATGTGAAATTAAAACTATTTTTAGCGACTTTGTGATAGTCACTACATGCATCTACATCTAACGTTATATATGAACATGCAGTTTGTTTCCTAGTACATGCATATTTTATTCAACAAAAGATGTTGAAACTCAGTAGCCTAAATATTTTGTCGTTTTAGGATATTTATGGCACTTTTATTATGACTTTCTACAGCTTGAGTATCTCTGAGGTTTTGTCAGTAAATACTTCTTTTTTTTTATTAGAAATCATCTGAGCACAATGAAAATTCGAATAAATTAAAAGTCGAATATCTTGGATATGGGGTAACCCATATCTATTCTTGTTTACATTTAGATCGGACAGATATTTGGGGTTTTCCATAGCAGAACATGTGTCGAGGCCTCTGCTGGTGGACTGTTAGTCCCCAAGGGTCTCTACAGCCAAGTAGCCTAGTACTTCGGTACTAGTTTAAAAATACGGATATAAATTCAATTGCTGTGGTAAAATTTAGAAATTTATTTCAAAATTAATTATCTCCCTCATGCATAGCTCTGATCCTTCGACTATTTGGCTCCAGTCTTTGGTACTTTTTTCAGCTCTTCAAAGTCTTTTTTTTATTTAAATAATTTGGATTTCCAACCTTTCGGCATGAGCATCACCGAAGAGACATAATTTGTCGAAATGCGCATCTGGTGCATCAAAATTGGTACCGTATATGATTTTCATGGACACTGCCACTCTTTATATGACATCGGGGATACACATCGCTTATCCACAACTCCTATTTGACCGAATTAAATTATAAGACTTCTACAGAATTCTTATGACATATATAGTGCCATTATATTCATGTAAGTAGGAGCGGTGGTATCATTGTACATCTCTAGTATTGGTAACTTAATTGTCATTACGCTATATGATTAATCTTTTTCTTTAAAAAAAAAATCAAACAAGAATTTTAAAACAGAAAATATATATATCAGATCAAATTATTTTAGGTCTTAGAAAGGTTTGAACATGTACCTAAAAGTACTGTAATAAGTTATTACAGTACTTGTTACTAATAACAATTTTTATTATATTTATTATATTTCTTATATTTACTATAATAAAGAATAAATTTAAAATACTGAAGAGAAATGATGGTGACACAAGCCTTTTTTCTCAGTAAAAGCCAGTTAAACTTGACCTATCTTTATTTTTGTAAATAAATACTAAGTATAGTATTCGATATGTTTTGATCAAAAGAGAAAAATCCTTGAAGTCTAAAAATAATATGAATTGTGACCTATTTGCACTTCAAAAAATTTTAACATGAACAAATTATGTTTATAACTTTAATTAAAGGAGTAATGCCGTTTTAAAAATTTTATGCATGAATATTATTGGTATAACTCTAGAACAAAAACAGGGGATTAAATTTCATTTATTCAGGTTATTGAGGTTATAATAAATTTTCAATGAAAACGTTGAGTTAATTTTTCAAGAGTTTTTATGAATGTAAACCATGTGCATTTAAATAAAACATTGAATGGTTTATTTTCAAATTTGATAAATTAGGTTTAAGTCTCTGCTAACTCTTTGTCTGATGTCTGAAAAAATTGTTGTGCATGATTACTTTAATAATTGTAGGAAAATTTTTAAGCCATTATAAAAAGAAGATAAGCAAATTTGCATGCATTTCTTATTTGAACTCCTTCCACATGAAAAAAAAAGTTCCCAAGAAAACTCCCTTAAAAAGCGTTTGACTTTCTAATTTTAATAACAATATGTTAGGAAGTATATAATTATACAATATTTTATGAATATGATTTATAAAATATCAATTCTGTCACTTGGGGATCTTAAGCATATTTTTCTTAAGTAATACTGAGTATTTTGATATACAAAAGGAAGCATATATACTAACAACTTTACATCATAAATCAAAATGTACATGAAATTTAACGATTGTAGTTTAATTAAAGGCATGTTATCTTTTTCCTAACTTAGCTGAAAAAAGGAGCTAAAAAGGATGATAAACCTCATATGTGGGAATCATGCCAGGTTTGTACATTATCATTGTACATATATTCTTCACATCAGTCCTGGCTTTAATCAAAGTAATCAACAGAACTCTTTTTTAAAAAGAAACCTTGTTTTTCATCTCCTTTTCTAACTTACAGCAACTTTTCTGGAAGATTTTTGAGGAGGAAAAGAACACTTTCCCTGAAGACATAAGGGATAGTGTGAGTGAAACATTGTTCAAAATCGTTCGGGTAAGTATCACTAGTAACAACAAAAAGGAAATGCGTAATATTCAGATAATCTCGAGTTACTGGAAATCTATAACAATGTTATTTTTATTATTTATACTTGGCGTCTCCATATGAGTGAAAAAATATTCTCAAGAGGGACGTTAAACAATAACCAAATAAACAAACAAATTATTTACACGTCATTGTTCCTTTTTTTTTTTTTTTTTTTTACGAATTTTAGTATGGTCGAGAAGAGTGGACTCTTGATCCGCACCAAATTCAAATTAAGGCTGTGGTACGTAAAAAAAATGTTATGCTAGGTTGAAATTAACTATTTATGCATAAAAATATAATTAATTATTTTTTTTTTATTAATTTACACAATTGCATTCCTTGTTATTTCTTATTGTGTGTCATGTTAAACTGATTATTTAGTGTACGATAATAAAATTATGCATGTGTAGTACGTTAAACTGCTTGTTTGTTAAAAAATGTGGAACTTATTCAAAATTGGTTTAATTTTAAACAATAATAATTAATAAATGTTTAGTTAAACATTATTGACATGCTCATATGAACTCTCTCTTCCCAAAATGTGTTGTTTTCATTTGTATTCAATAAAGAAACTATTGAAAGTGAGAGGTTTAGGGCCAGGAAAAGAGTTTATTTAAGAAATGAAATTTTTTTTTATACATGTATTTCATAATGATATCGATATTACAATACAAGTATATGCAGACACACTGAAATTGTACCAGCCTTAAACAGTGTCAAACAGTTAAGGTTCATCTATCGTTTGATAAGAGAGATTACTCTTATTGAGATACTGTAAATCACATATTTTTGTGGGATCAAATTTTCATGGTTTGAAGAAAAATTAATGGTTCATTCAGGGATTGAATTTAGTGGTTGAGGAAAAGCTTGGTTGTTTTATTTTTGAATTTTGCATTTCGTGGAGAACATAAGTTCATATGTCTCTTCATACCAATCCCCTCCCCCCCAAAAAACAAACAAACAAAATCTAAACCCCACAAAATTTAAAATGTCACTGTAAATTTTTAATATTCTTATCTAAATTGTTAAAATGTCTTCTCTTTCAAATTTTGCTATGCAATGTATGCTGAAATTGTTTGATTTTTTTAAAATTATAAATTAGATTTTTTTCAAAATCATAAATATTAAAGCAAAACTTTTACATGTGTGAACAGAGTTATGATAGACCTTAAATTTCATCTTTTAACATATATGAATATGATTCAGCCACTGTGTCTTAATTTTGATTAATGAATCTGTATATTTTCTTGGCTAGATTCTTCTTGAAAGAATCAAAATAAGTTTGAAGGAAGAACTGCGAGACCATCCGGATTTAAAGCAGTTTATTATTGGTGAAATGCTGGTGAGTATGCAGATTTTGATTACATTGAAAACAGAAAGCTATATAAAAGTACTAAATATAACCGTAAACTATCTGTTAATTTTCTGAACAGAATGCTATATGAAGTACCAAAGATGACAGTTTACCATCTGTAATCTTCCAAATATAACTTTATTGGTGTTGCTCAATTTAATGCCATGCCTTTTTTTTTTATTTTGAAGAGAGATGAAGACTTGTACAAGAAAAAAGAAGTGAGTTTAACGTTTCATCCAGATTCTGTTTAAATTTAATGGTATTATTGAAAGTAATGCCCGATCATTAGTATTTTTTTCATCGTCCAAAATTAATTTTTACACTCTTTTCAAACTTAAAAAAAACCTTTTCCTCTCTGGAGAAACATGCTTACTTTTATTTGTCAAAAGGATTGAAGGTATTTTCAAAATATGTATTGTTTTACATTTTTAGCTCACCTGAGCCAAGAACTCAAGAGCTTTTCTGATCAAAAATTTTGTGACAGTACATAATTGGTTGCTTTCTCCTATAGTAAAGATTCAATTCTTGGCACCTTGGGTTAGGAGGGGGAACATGTTAGGGGTCAAAGTTTTAGATTGGAACATGCTGAAAATGGGGTAATTTTTTGCCCCATGATTTTTTTTTCCGGTCTTCTGTACTTCCAAACAATTTTGTCTCATTTAAATCTGCCCAGACACAATTGTGAAAAAAAATTGTTGAAGAGATATGCTGTCTTCTTTGAACTAACCCCATTTTAGATGATTCGCCCACTTGAGATTAGGGTTAATACAATAAAATGGGGGGGGGGGGAGGGGGGAATTTCCTTGCATACAGTATAGAAAATGTCAATAAAATCTTCTCAAGATCAATAGAGCAACAATTAATCAAATTGATAAGTATTATCATGTAGTAACATTTTAAATTTATTGGTATCATGACCCTGAGGCAAAGGTGGGGTCACAAATGAGAGTCAAATTTTTACATACAGGTAATAATAGAGTCTAAAAGAGTCTATAGTAGGATGTGGGGGAATGCTTAACATATATGATATGGAATACATGTATATATCCCCCAAGAAATCTATTAATTTAAAAAGATTCTCTGGAAAACCAGAGAAGTTACAATGAAATACTGTGGAATCATTGTAGTTGGGTGGAGGGGCTAGTTTGTGGGAGGTGTCAATGTTCATGGGAAACAAGTTCACCAAGACATTTTGTTTGTTACACTTATATACAGAAGATTCAATTAATCTATTTATTGACAAAATCTTAGATCATGGGGATGTAAGTAATAAAGGTAAGGGGAACCCAAGAAATCCACAAAAATATTCTCCAGCAAACAATGATGATTCTACAGTAATTAAGCATCCTCATGTCATAGATATATGCTGTTCTAATTGAGGCCCCTTGACTAAGGACTGATCTCTAATTTGAGGACATTTTTATGAAAAATTTATTTTGACATTGATAAGAAAAAAACAAATAGACATACATGTAGTTTGTAAGGTTGACATTAAGCATGTTTACTGTACATTTAAATTGTTGCATTTTGCATTTAATTGCTGATTTATTTAATTTTTAAGGCAGCAGCAATTACAATCCAGACATTTTACAGAAAGTATCAGGACCTAAAAAAAATTAAACATCTAAAGGCAACTGTCATTCTACTTCAATCTTTTATACGTCAGATTCAAGCCAAGAAGAATTTCATGAAAGTCAAGCAGTCAGTGTGTATTATACAAAGACGATTTAGGGCATACATTAACAAGAAACAGGCACAGAAGAAGACTGAAGCTGCAGTTGTGATTCAAGCTTGCTTTAGAGGTTACATGGTGCATCGTGAATACAGGAAAGAGAGGGCAGCCATAGTCAAGATACAGTCAGGTATCAGAAAATTTCTCGCTCGGAGAAGATATGCAGGACTGAAAGATACTGTAATTGGAATTCAGAGGCAATTTCGTCGAAAATTGAGTGTAGCGAGAATAAGAGAGAAATTCTTAATTACCAAGGGTGCAGCCATCACCATTCAAGCCCACTACAGAAGGCATCTTCAGCAGAAAAACTACAATCAAAAGAAGCGAGCAATCATAAAACTGCAGACATTACTTCGCATGAAAATGCAGAGAGATCTGTTTCTTCTCCAAAAGATGGCTGTCTGTAAAATACAGAGGTGGTTCAAAAATATAATGCAAAGAGACAGGGCTAAAACAGAATACCAGATGACAAGAAAATCAGTCATATTTCTTCAAAGTGCTGTTAGAGGTTGGATTGCCAGAAAACAAGCAAAACAAAGAAAACTTTCAATTATCCATATCCAGGCTGAGATCAGAAAGTTAATTATTCTACAGAAGTTTCAGATTTTGAAGAAGTATACTGAGATTTGTCAGTGGCGCTATCGGGCTAAGTTACATGGAAGATTAGTTCATCATCAATATTTGGCCCTCCGTGAAGCAGCTTTGACAATGCAGTCGCGCTATAGAGGAAAACAGACTAGAAAATTGATGTTCTTGAAACAGGAAAGTGCCAGAATAATTCAGTCATGGTACAAAGGGAGAAAACAGTACATATTGTACACAAAACTAAGACAATCAGTCCTTTTGTGTCAGAAAACTTTCAGGGCAAGTAGATTAACAAAGACAGATCGAAGAAAGTTCTTGGTCATTAAAGGAGCAGCTCTTACTATTCAAGTATATTATAGAGAATACAAGACAAGATGTATGTACCAAGAAATGAAGCAGACCATAGTGTTGCTCAAGTCAGGTTCTAATGGTTTTATGGACAGAAGGAGGTTAAGGGAACTTCAAGAAGCTGCAGCTATCACACAGAGGGTTCTTAAAAACCACTTGCACATCAAACTTGTCAAGGTTAGACCAAGTAAAAATATTTTATTTGCCATAACTGTAATTAAAAATAAAAAAAAATCACATGAATGTTTTAGAAAATTCTTTTAATAAAACACAAATTTTAAAGGAAAGATAGTAGTTTGTATAGAAGTTGATCAACGCATCAGTCTGAACAATGTTGATAATTGCAAAATCTTCAATAGATCATTCAAATTTTCCATGAGTGACTCGGGTGACCTAAAGTTGCTATCTGTTTTCAGTCCATCCTTTTGCGTTGTCCAGTTGGAGAACTGGTTAATGCAAATTTGTATTTTGCAACATTGAACAAGTTAATCGGTTGGAACAAATTGTAGTTAGCTGGTTAGATATTTTCCATTTTGTTCCTAATGTAAGACATGCATATCTTTTGTAGCATCAGGAGGTAGAACGGCAGACATACTTGCTACAATTCACCAGGAAAACAACAGCCATACAGAGAGACTACAGAAAATATGAATCACTTTGTGAAGCCAAGAAACAGCTCTACGGTGCCCTCATAATACAAGTAGGGGTTATAACTTAATTGTTTTAGAAATTGCAGGATCAAATTTTCATTCTCAAATATCACAGTTAAGGTTTTGTATGATATGGTTTGTTGTCATCTTGCAATAGTTAGATATGTATTGTATATCAGACTGATGGTTCATTACATAAAAAGTACAAGTTTGAATATTGATTAATTGCAGAACTGGATGAAGGGAAGATTGTGCCGCTTAAGATTTCTGAAGCTCAAGGAGTCCGTTTCTGTATCTGAAACAGCAGCATTAAAGCGGGAAGACATCAGCCATGATAAAGAAATACAACAAGGAGCCTCCACAATACAAGTAACATATATGTTAAATGTAATTCTGTTAAAGTTTAATTAATACTTAATAGAGTCTTCCATGAAGATGCAGGTGTCCATTATTATCGTATATCCATTCATTACAACTTTTGTGTGACATGATTACTTGACTTAGGAACCTTTCTACCAAAAGATGTTATATTCATTACATAAATAAAGGGTGGTAAGAGTAAGGCACATTACTTAGGAAAAGTCAGGATTAAAAATAAAAAAAAAGATTGGTTGGTTGTTGTTGTTTGAAGGTTATTGTTGTGATCATATGTCGTGCCATCACTTCCATTTCTAAACATAAATTTTGAATATTTTTTTTACTTGTTTGAGAGTTGCTAGAATAAGATTCTTGTAGATTTTTAAAGTAACTTGATCAAAAGTCAAATTCAAGCGTCGAAAATACAGCTCCCTCATGAAAACAAAAGATTTTTTTCCAGGTGATTTATATAATTAGAATCACTTTGTATTTCTGTCAGTCTCAGCTGCTGAAACATCATGTCTGGACCCCAACATTTGTATTATTTCGTTATTCTTATCAGCAAAAAAAGTCTATTCTTATGGGTATCATTTAATGTTTAACATTTCTTAAATTTCAGGAGGAAGGGAAGATGGAGCAAAACATTGAGCCAGAAAATGTGAAAGCTAAGAAATTAGGGGTATGTTTAATGATATATTAACTCTGTAAGTTTAAGGTCAAGATCTAGTAAATGAAAGATGCCTACAGATTTCTCAAATCTGAGAAATAAATTCCTTTATTGATGCTTTATAACTTTAGCTTTGTCAAATAAGATGTCTTGGGGCATAATTTGTAGGTAAAGAAGACAAAAAAAAATCATATTTTAAACTGTCAGTTTCTGAATCAATGAAAAATTAAGAAAACCAGTCTTGAATATGTTGAATAAAAATTTGAAATTGATTATGACGTCATAATGGATCTAGCACCAAAAAGTTAAAGTCATTTACTAGATCTTGACTTTAAAGTACACTGTATGCAGGTGTATGTTTCATTCTATGTAAATGTAAAACTTCAAACAAAGTTTACTATTACATTTAACAACTGATTTTGTAATAAAATTTACTTTTTCTTTTATCCATCCTTATGAAACAGCTTAAATATCACTGGAAAATTATTGGACTGTGTTATATTAATTATTGGATTGCTATATTAATTATTGGACTGCTATATTAAGTAGTTCATGTTTTCTTGGTCACTTACAACACAGCAATTCTATTAAGTTGTTGATGTTCAAACGTCATTGCTGTTGAAGAACTACCTTTTCTAAAATCTCTATAAGAAAAAAAACATGTTCAGATTTAGGAATCAATTTGTTTAGCATTGCTAGGGAGAAAAAAAAATTCAATTTAAGAAGTCCCCAATGTCCTGTTTAAAATGATTTAGGTACTATAAATAAGATCATCAAGTGAAATTGAACTATTGGTTTTTAGTTGTTATATTCTATGCAACTACTCAGGAGAGCTATTCAAATTATGATGTCAAGTAAAATTTTATTATATACATCTGTACATCTGTGTTTTGTTGAAGTTGACAATCAAAATTATATGTTATTCATCTCCCTACACTTCAGAGAATGAAGAGATGTAGAAGGTGGATCAAGCGTTGTTTTTGCTGCTAGGGATAAATAAAGGTAAATATGCTACATGTTATAACTCTGCTTTTATATTAATCACATCTCCCTTCTTCGCTCTTTATCTGTTTTTTTTTTTTTTTTGTTTTTTTAATTCTTATTTAAAAATAGGAAGTAGGCAATCAAAATAAGTGATAATTCATTCATGATGACATAGGTGTTCCTACAATAAATTTATTATCCAAACACTGTTTAAATAGTGAAGTAATTTAAGGCAGTCAATCAGCCATAAGTAATGATTTTTATCATTCTTAGAATTTTGACACTGCATTGGGCAGAGGAGATATGTTTTTTTTTTTAAATTAATGCCCTTTCTCTCTCTCTCTCTCTCTCTCTCTCTCTCTCTCTCTCTCTCTCTCAAGTATATATAGTTATTTTTTTTAATTGTTTTAATAGACAATCTTTCAAATTTTTTTTTCAGATGAGAAGACAACTTCAAACAAGATTTAAAGAGAGCTATTTTGATTTAATTTTGTTTTTAAAGAAATAATTGTAAATGTTTAACTTAATTTAATCAAGTAATTAATATTTGAAGCCCAGGAGGGGACACCCGAGCTATTTTACAGATTCTCTTTATTTTTGGCTAAAAATTAATTATTTCTTTCTTTTGACTCTTCCTAAATTTATATAATGTGAGCCTCATAGACAAGAGACATATGCTGCAAAAGTGTCATCCTAAATTGTTCTTTGGCTTTTCTTTCTGGTCAGGAGGCAAGCGAAACAAATCTCTTATGGAGTTAACAGAGCAAAATTATTTCAAAGATTTCGGAACTTTAGGCCTTTCAGGGAGACCCATTTTAACCAGGGTTTCCCTGTCTAAAAGCATGAAATTGTAAATACATCCATTTAGAGATGTTAAGAGCAACGTTTCCTCTCCTGTCAAAATTCTGCTTATAGTTTATATATCTGTCTATATTGTATTTGATATGTTTTAATAAACCAACATTTGTATACATGTATTGGATTTTAGTAATAAATTTCGATAATAATATGTTTGTTTGTAAGTTGTTTAACGTCCATCTCCGGAATTTTTTACTCATATGGAGACGTCACCACTTACCGGTGGAGAGCTGCAAATTTTGTCCTATATTCGGCTCTTACGGCCATTGAGCAGTTAGGGATTTTTTTCGTGCCAGCACCTACTGCGACACGGGACCTCGGTTTATACGGTCTCATCCGAAGGACCGGTCTCCACGTCCCGCAGTGGGATTCGAACCCGCGACGTAAGGATCAACTCCTTACGCCGCGACTCTAGAGCAGATGCTCTAACCACTGTGCCACGCGGGCGACTAATAATATGTTTGAAGGATATAGTTATCTTTAAAAACGTCCTAAAATTTAAAGTTGTGATTAAAAAGTGATATTTGACCAAGACTATGTACGTGTCCTGTAGCTATAACGTTCGGACAAGTGCATATTTATTTTGTTGTGACCCAGGATTGTGAAGATGATTGATTGATTGTATGTTGTTTAACGTCCCATTCGAGAACTTTTCACTCATATAGAGACGTCACCATATACCGTAGAAGGGCTTCAAATTTTGACCTTTACTCGGCACTCAAGGCCATTGAGCAGTGAGGGATCTTTATCGTGCCAACGCCTGCCGTGGCTCCGTTTTTAAGGTTTCATCCGAAGGTCCCACAACTTTCACTTCAAAGTGCCGAGCGCATGGCGAAGGAACAGTTGCTACCCATTTTTTTTTATCGACTTAGGTCAGTCGCGGCCGAGATTCAAACTCGCAACCTCCCGATCACGGAGCGAGTGCTCTACCGACTGAGCTACCGTGAAAGGTAGGATTATAAAGAATCTATGAGTCTATTTATCTTTAAGAGGACATACTTCTTGTGTGTGTGTGTGTGTGTTTTGTATTGTTCAAATATGTATCGTAGATTAAAAAAAATCCCATACATATTCATTAATTGACATTTTCTCTTAACATGTAAACAAGTTAAGTATATACAAAGTACACCTCGGGTTCGTTGCCATGACATTCTCAGTTGCGAATATGCACATTTGACTGATACATTTATTGGCACAACCTTAGCTAATAATCTTTCGATATATCAACAACTCTTGCTGTATATTCACAACTAATAATGTTATTAATTGACTTATCTTTATTTCTATGCCCATATAGTTGATGTGTATTTTAATAAGTAATTTAACAAATGATAAATTTATAAATAAACTCCTTACAATAGTTGAATAAATAAAAAAAACTAAGGCCTTTCTATTACCAACAAGGTATTAAGTTATTACCACCCATCCCTTCATGTCCACCTATACATTTCACACAGATACTTACATTCATTGACTGACAAGCATGCTTACAATCTATTGGTCAAGATGTTTTACATTGTCAAGAGTGAACATTATTCAGTTTGAATTTTACAGTCTAAGACATGAGGACAGTTGGAGAAAGGTGTCCTTTAGTTTCATCAATTTATTCAAATCTGCATCTATATAATTTAATTTTGATTTTAACGCGTCATTTGATTGGATAAAAATTAGTTTATATCGTATAACCTGTTGCCTACGTCACGATGACTTACGTCAAAACCGTATCAATCCGCTTGACGTTACATATAAAATATGTACAATATACCGGTAAATGCATTTTTGAAGGAGAAATCGTCTTATTTTCTACACTAAATGATAAGGAATGAATTTAATAGCTACCTAGGTTATACTATGTAACCTGGGTTGGAACAGTTTACGCTTTTTAGCTCACCTGAACTGAAAGCTAAACATTGTCCGTCCGTCCGTCTGTCTGTCCGTCTGTAAACTTTTCACATTTTCAACTTCTTCTCAAGAACCACTGGACCAACTTTAACCAAACTTGGCATAAAGCATTCTTGGGTAAAGGGATGTTTAAATTGTAAAAATGAAGGGCTAAGCCCCCTTCAAAGGGGAAATAATCAAGAAAAGACAAAAACTGGGTGGAGTCATTAAAAAATCTTCTTCTCAAGAACCACTGGGCCAGAAAGGCTGAAAATTATGTGGAAGCATCCTGGGGTGGTGTAAATTCTAAATTATTCAAATCATGACCCCTAGGGGTAGGGCGGGCCGCAATAGGGAATCCAAGTTTTACATTGAAATATGTAGTAAAATCTTTAAAAATCTTCTTCTCAAGAACCACTGGGCCAAAAAAGCTGAAACTCATGTGGAAACATCTGGGTTAGTGTAGATTCTAGATTGTGTTCAAATCATGACCCCCAGGGGATAGGACAGGGCCAGGGAATCCAAGTTTTGCTTTGAAATATGTAGAAAAAATCTTTAAAAATCTTCTTCTCAAGAACCACTGGGCCAGAAAAGCTGAAACTTATGTGGAAGCATTCTGGTGTAGTGTAGATTTTGAATTGTTCAAATCATGACCCCTGGGGGTAGGGTGGGGCCACAATAAGTACTACGAGGAAATCAGGTGAAAAACAGCAAGGCCAAAGTTACTCAGGTGAGCGTTGTGGCCCTTGGGCCTCTTGTTTAAACTGCTCCAACCCAGGTTATACAGTATGATTCGGGTATCTATTAAATTTATTCCTTAAATGATTCTGACAAATTCCTAGAAAAAGAGACATGTAAGTACTAATATTTAAATCTTTTAAACTAATTAATTAGAATAAATTATATTCGATCATGTATATGGGAATTTGTTACATTGGAAAAGAATAATGTGCATAGAATATTTTATACCTGTGATTAGATCAGATACTAGTATATCTTTATAAAAGTGTAGTACATTAAGATTATAAAAAGTGAAATCGATATCCACGGCCCAAACCATTACAATTACATTGACCTCTATGACGTCACTATACATGTTCGTAAACATGTATCGTAGGAAAGTCAGTATGCATGTTGAGAGCATTAGAAAGACCATGGTAAGTTATATGTTCCTTATTTGTACATAAAATATACCTCGAATCTGACAGTTCTAATTATAGTATGATTGTAAGAATACTCTCTTTAGAGGCTAGCTACCGGTACACATTTTAGATTAAGTTCATAAAGTTAAGTATCTTTAGGGTGTATTTGTCTAAAAAGTCGATGAGTCACGCATAAAATTTGCTGAAAACATGTAAAATATCGCTCTAATTGGCTCTCAGATATTCCCCCCTCCTCTCTCTCTCGTTGACTTCATTGTCGAATTTGTGTGTGTGTTTGTGTGTGTGTGGCTTTCTGCTCAACTTTTCCTGGGAAAAATGAAGAAATACATATATTGTAATCTCACTAATCTGTCCTACAGGGGCATAAAAATAAGTAGTATGACTCAACAAAATACCCCCCCCCCCCTTAAAAACAAATAGATAGAAAACGTATCGATTTGGGTAAACTCAGGAGAGCTAAAATATTTTGACCGGATAGAAAATAGAAGAGGAATGTATAACATCATCTCCCTGCGACTTGTCTATTTTGTACTACATGTACGTATAATGCTACAAAGCTCCCATAAAGCGGGGTACCCCGTTTATTTAAAAGATTCAAAATTATTTAAGTTTGTATTTTTTATTCGTGTATCGGTAGAGGGGCAATATACCGGTATGTCTATATAAAATAAAAATGGGAAATGATACCATGTATCAGTATGCAGGTATAATACGCTAGGAATTCATGTTTTTGGACAAAGTTAGGGGACGACCATTTGATTCTGAAGAGGAGGGAGGGCAAACAAATAATTTCATAAAGATACCTAATAATAAAATTAATGATATTTTTTTGTTTGCTTGTCAGACTTTTTTCAGTGAAGAAGAAAATAAATAATCTGTCCTCGATCATTTTGGAAATAAATAATTTGTCCTTCACCGACATGAAAATAAATATTATCTGAATCGGAAAAAAATTGCCAGGACCCCCCCCCCCCCCACTTTAGAATCAAATGGTTGTCCCTTAGCTCATGGTGTCTTTTAAAAAATCATAAAAAGGGGGAGAGAATTTCACTTTGTTACATCCCTTTCTGTTACGTCACAATGACATCACAGTACTCGATGTCATAAATCATCATATCCTTAGCGACTCTGTTTCTAAAGGAAGGTTCTAGGTTGTGTGAAAAATTCTAGTTTGCGTGAAAATCGACGTATTCATAATGCTTGAAAGTATCAGAAAGTCTAAGACTGTGGTAAGTAGTATTTTCTACCTTTACCTTGTACTGTGCAGTTGAAAATGTAGATAAACTGTATGAAGATGAATAACTCTTCTGATCACCTCTAATGTTTTCATAAATGCAATTGCTTATAGGCTAAATGACAAACGCTGGTGCCCCCACCCTTCTCCTTACATACGAAGTTTTTGTTGGGGGATTCTTAAATTACCGTATCCGTATGTCTGTAGAAAGAAAGCTAAAATATGTATATTTATATGATATGAACGAACCTTCCATTTATAATATTTTTATAGTAGGCTAATACGCCATGGTTATGAATCGTCTCAAGCGAATCCACATAAAACTCTCTCCTTCAGTTTGACCATGGTTTGCAATGATGCATGGTATGGCGTTCTTATCCGTCTGTCTGTCCGTCCGTATATGTGTTAGCTTTTTCGTGCCAGACGCATAGTTGAATAGACCATATCAAGGTTATTGGACGCCATCTTAGAAATACCACGAGGCTCTTATAGTTATTTTTTAGCTCATTTAAACAGAAGACTCAAGTAAATCAGGCACGTAGCATTGGATGCACATGGAAGGATTTGACCATACTGCAAGACAGAAGCCCCAAATCCCCCTACCCACCCCCAAATAGATATTTTAATCTTCATGGTCTTCCAAGGGGAGATAATAAGAAAACAGTGAAATTTTAAGAACTTCCTCTCAGAGCCATGGAACTATTAATCTAAGTCAAAACTTTGGTAAAAACTTCCTAAAGGAAGCACATTATTAAATATTTTTACACATGGCGATAGGGGTTAGAGTGGATCAATGTTATATAAGGCTGGTACAGGAAACACTTTTG